CCGGCGTGCTCTGCGCGGAGCCGTGGGCGGGTTCGGACTCTGTTGTTGCTCGCGCCCTCCCGCGCCCGGATGTGAGGACGAAGCTCGGTCGGGGCTGTTTCCAAAACCAAGGCTGGCAGAATTTGCATTAGGATGGGCACAGACCTACGTGCTCCAGATGCTTTTAAAATCACGTCTGTTGATTGCTCATGTTCTTCAGAAAGCCCCACAGTGATTGGTGACGTTCAGCCACGTCCCCCTGACGTTTCGCGATTGCTCGCCTTGTGCCCTGAGGGAAGGAGTCGCTTCTAGGTCTTCGAGTTGATGTACGTTGGTTTTTACCCCTGTCTGGTACTAGGGATTGAATCCAAGGCCTTTTCACTGAGCTACAGCCCCAGCCTTTTAAAATGTTCTATTCGTATCCTGAGACAAGGCCTTGCTAACTTGACCAAGCTGCCTTGAATTTAGTCCTAAAGCGCAGAGAACTCTCAGCTGCTTGCTTGGTAGGGCTTGGGACCTGGCTGGTGGGGCAGAAACTCCTGTGTCTCAGACTCAAATGGGCCCCAAAAGGGCACATCTCTTGTTATAAGAAGAAGATTTTCAAAATATGCAGTGTTGCCCCAATAATCCAAATTGTCTCTAAGCTTTATTATGCCCTAGAAGGAGAGTTGTGAGCTATGTAGTATGTTACGGGTTAACTCTTGGAGCTTTACTTTCTGAAAGAAAAATCATGTTACTGGATTCTGAGTTTAAAACAGGAGATAGCACCACTTGGTAACAGTAAGGACAGAAGATACTGGTCCTGTTTTATTACAGGGGGAAACCAGAACTAGATGGTGTCAAGAGCAGGAGAGGAGAAAATGGCGCTGGCTGCAATTAAAGAGAAGATGGCGGTGGTGGCAGCCTCCATATGTGAGATATCTGGATAAACAGCCCTCAAACCTAGGTCTAAGATTTTAACTGACTAAATTTTGTTTCTAGTCATCTGTTCTGAGTAATATACATATAACAGTAACATCAATTTAATGGTGGTAGAAGTTAAAGCAGAACTTCATACTTTAGGAAAAATACCCTTGAGAACAAAATACATTATAAATTGAATGAAATGATTATATTACCATTTATAATTTTAAAAACATATTAAGGACAACTAATGTTTTCTATATAACAAGATGAGTTGTGCTTCAGTGAAGGCCCTTGATGCAATCACCATTCGTTTCCCTCCCTGTGTGAGCATGTGTATATCTGTATGTGGTTATTTAAGAATTTTAAAGATAAAACATAGCAATAATTTTTAAAGCAGTTGTGTTTTATTTGGAACTAGTAGCACATGTGCCATGTATATAGGTGTGTAAATGATAAATGCCATTTTTCAAGAGGTAACATGCTTATCACAATTGTTATTCTATAACTGCATAAACAACCATAGATTCCATTTCTGGGAATTTAAACAGTAGCAACATTCATGCCTTTGTGGAAGTTAGAAGGCACAGATTGCTAGACATAATTTCAGTCTAGCTGTAAGACATTTGTTTTTCTGTCAGTTACTTCAGAAACATAGTCAGGTGACTATTCCATGTGTTTGCCTCATCTCTTACAAGCATGTGACGGGGAAAGGTTTTGCAGACATTAAATTGGAGAATTACATTTCTCCCTTAAATTCAGTTTTCCCCTCCAAGTTCTATTTCAAGGCACTTTGCCCTGGGAAGAAAATGGTATTCACTGCTAGCAACAAAGATAAGCCTTAGTTTTATGCATTCACTTTTTGCCATGTCTGACATGTGCTGAGAGTATGCAAAAGTATAGTGGATGGCAGATGATGTCTTGGTTCTAAGGATTAAAGCATGCGATGAAGGAAGGAGTTTGTGTTTGCCTGTACATACGGAGAACAGAAGAAGGACAGACTACTGGTGTACAACAAGGAAGAAACAATAACCAGACTTCAGATTGGAAGCAAAACAAGACTCCAATGCAAGGTGACAACTTGATGTCTTTGAAAAAGTCAAAGAGAGCCAATCAGAATTTTATGATCATCAACAGGGAGCGATTCAGACTGGCCACTGCAGAAGTGACAGCCAAGAATGTAGAGGACATAGGAATTTAAGATTCTCATCTTTTGTTATTAGACACAAGGCTACATAAGCTTCAATTTTTCTATACCTTATGGTTGGAAATCTGAAATTTTAAGCTTTTTATCCTTCAGTTGGTTTTCAAGTTCCAGTTAGCGTCCTTACTTTCCAGACCTTTCTTGTCTTGGAACATTACTTTAGAAAACTTTTAATTGAAAATTCTTTTTCTACCCTTCTGAGATGTAAATGTTCTCCTAGCCTCTTGTCAGTGTTGCAACCTAGTAGTTTTTCTCAAGGATGTGGGGCCATCTGTTTGAAATAGAATCAAGAAAAATAGGGCTTCTCTATCTCAGTCTTTGTGGTAATTTAAGAACCTAATTTAGACAAATGCCAGTTAGCAAATACACATTTCCTAAGCACACTGACCAACCTCTTCCTTAAAATCCTCCAGCACTTTTCTTTCAGTTCATCCCAATGCTTAAAATTCCTGCTCTTCATTTTAGTACAGTTGAGTTCAATCTCTCTCCCTTTTTGCAGTAGCATTTAATGGTTTTTTGGCTTGTTTAACTCCATCCAGTGAAAATTTTCTTTGATACTAGATACCTTTAATCTAAGAAGACTGCTTAGTTGTTAAATTAGACTATATGACATTTTACTATGGTTATTTTTCTCTTGTTATCAAGGAGCATAGAGGCAATCCCAATCAGCTATAGAGAAAACATACTTCAATTTTTTGCACATACAAGTGTATGTAATATACATAAATTTGGAATCCATTACAATGTGATTGGGAAGTTTAGCTGAGATGCCAGGCTGAGTAGATAATGTCAGTTTCACCTCTCTCTGAAGTGCCTGTGGTTAAAATAAGATTTCAACCCCTGATAATGAAGAGAACTAGAGAGGGTTGAGGTAGGTAGAATTCTAGAAATAATGCCAAAGACACTTGCTCTTGTACAGTTCCTTCCTCTGTGATGATGTAGTATTGTGGCAAAAGAGATGTTGCAATGTAATTAAGGATACTGTTCAGCTGTTGTGAGTTAATTAGGAGGGCGATAATTTGAGATGGCCTAATCCAATCTGTGCATCCTTCGAAGGCAGTGTTTTCTCTGGCTTGTAGTAGAAGAAAGCAGAATGGAAGCACGGTTCTCTTGATGGCTTGAAGAAGGAGGGGAATTCTGGGTCTTCTTTAAGAAAACTGCTTCTGGCTGACAGTGATTAAAGAAATGGGGTCCTTAGAGCTATTGCAGCCATGGACTGGATTGCAGCCATCAAAGTAAATGGGCTTCAAAGCAGATCCTTCTGAGAGCTTCCATGTAAGAGCCTAGCTTGGCTGACAAATTGATTTCATCTGTGGTGGAGAACCCAGCTGAGCCTGTTTGGAGGTTGTTTTTGGTCAAGTTTGTAGTAATTTCTTATATAGCAATAGAAAATAAATATGGAGCCACTGGTAAATGAATAATTCCAACAAAGCACTTAGGAGAACAATATGGATGGGAAAATCCTAACTGATAAAAGAGGGAAGGGGGAATAATTAAAATGTAAACATGGAAGAATTAGTTCACTCCCTGTTATGTACTAGATACTAGGTCGAACAGTTGAACCTCTAGTTTTAAATATAAAGGAATTTATTGAAATATATAAATTAGTGTGGAGAGTGTTAGGAGGGCCACGGAATTAACACTGGATCTGTAAGGCACTCAGGGAGATTATTCACTTAATACAGTGACATTTTACTACTGGAAATATCTGTGAGTCTTTCAGGAAACTAAGAACTAGGCATCATATGTCCCTTTCTTTTTGCTGCAGATCAAGCAAAGGAGTCCAGAGTTGGAATCATAGTTGAAATGCATGGTCTCAAGAGTTTCACTTCTTCCTTTAAAGTCATGGCAGAAATCGTGTGTGCAATGCAGAGGATAAGAACAAACTCTGAGAAACAGAGAAAGGCCTTTATTAACAAATCAGAGAACTACCAAAATAGGTAATGGGAGGCTAACACAATTTGGCCAGCTACAAGACTAGGTTGTCAAAAGGCTAATCGCAATTAAAAAAAAAACACTTGTTTCGTAAATGATCATTTGATTTAAAAATTTAATAAGAATTTGAAAGATGAAAATTTCAGTGATACAAAAATAGAACAAAAAGAAAGAAAACTGCAAAATATTTAAAAAGTAAGATGAACCAAGTCAGACTTTGATGATATCCAAAATGCAGGATGAAGATGAGGAAATTCTCAAAAGTGAAATAGAAAAACTTTCCTTGGATTATGGGAAAAACTGTACTTTCAAATGGAAAGCTAATTCATAATGCATAGTGCTGAGCAGTATGAATGAATAACAGTTTGTACTTATGTATGTGGATGAGAAATTTGAGAATATAAAAATGTACGGAATATAAAAATACAAAGAGCAAAAATTAGATAAGCATGGGATTTTTTCATTGTCCTAATGGGATGCTGAAAGGCTTGCAGAAATTCTGAGAAAATTACTACACTAGAATTTTATATCTAGCTAAATTATCTGATGTAAGGATGTAATAAAGTCATTTTCGGACATGTAGGATTCAGGAATCTTGTCTACCCATGCATGCTCCATGGTTAAAGCACAACAGGATATATATCAGAAAAACCAGGGTTAATTTTGCATTTGGATAGTTCCTTTTTATCACTACCTGTCTTTCAAATAATATATTCCCCATTCTAGGTAGCTCATTCATTTCTTGGGTGAATAACTTTTTGAATACTTAACTTTTTTTTTTTTTT